AGTTGATGGTCTGAGAAACCGTGATGCGGCAGCTGTTGGCCAAATTAAGTGCTCATCTCATGATCTTCGTCCTCGGTTCTGGGCTCTAAACAGGGGACCCTCTTCAATTCATGGCTGCACCGCATGCAGGACCCACGAGGTGGACGCTGGACGGCGGCGTCGGTGAGCCCCGTGAAATTAGCATTGGGAGATCGTAAAGGTAAGGCACTACTTGGGATTGGACGACCGCAGAGAGCTGAGTAGGGACCATGTAGCCTTTATGAGACCGAGATAAACGAAGAGTAAGAAGAGAGTGGACTTGGAAATTGGGGGAGAGAATGAGGAAGAGAAAATTATAAGATATATATATATGAGAGGCGGTCAGGACCAAAGAGGAACACGGTCACTCTATACGGATTTAATAAGTACAAACGTTAATCGCCGTATTTACGATCGGACTTGGCTCAGCCTGGAAATTAAATTATTGTCACAATAAAGATGGCGTCGGATCATCAGCTCACGTTCATCCCTTTTCCCAAATGCTTTATTCCTTCTTATTCGGACCCTGCCATCTGACTTCTTTCCCGTGACTAAGGACCTCGCTTCAGTGTCTCGGTTGTCTCTTTCTCTGGATTCGTGGTTAGTTACGGCCCCTTCCATCCACCCCTATACCTTTCCCTGACGGAAATGGGCAACCCAGGGGTAGGTAATATATTCGAGTCGGAAGGCGACTCAACGCTGAAACAATGAACCGACCAACCGGTGTGGGCCGCGCAAAGCTCATGGCTTAGCATCCCCTATCGGCTTGCGCTCTACGAGCCTCGAACCATTGCGGGATGAAATTTCCACCCTTGCGCCGGGACGACAGGGACGCTTTGCGAAGGGTGCTCTTTCGCGGATTTAGAGAACCTCTACAGTCTGACGCTTCTTCTCGGTGCTGTTGTCATGGCAACTGTTCACGGGGATTTGGGATGACGTGCGTCGATATGAGATAAGGAAAAGAAAAACAGATGATCAGAAAAATAAATACCGAGGCGGTTGGTGTTTCGGTTAAAAAAAAAATTTACAACCTTTAAATTTTTCAAGGATCCATTCAGATCCGAGAGATTGGATGGCTCTGTCAAACCCCGTGCGCCACTTTCAATTCGTACCCGTCCGTGGAGGCAGGGGGTTCAAACAAGAGGTAGAGTTTCTGGAGACAAAGGGGGTGGGTGCACCCTTACCGAAATCCCTGGGATAAGACAGGGAAGATGGACTCCGAAAAAAAAGTCCGGCTCTTTGTCCAGTAAATGGTGAAGCTCCCGACGCCATTGTCGTCCGTCCTCGGACGTCGCGAAGGGTGGCGGACCTTATTTTTTTTTCACCCTCCTTCAGGATCCATTCCGACCCCCCCCCGCCCGGCTTTACCTTGCGGGAAAGTTTATCGCGGCCTGCTGGAAATGAAACTCTGGCTCGACGGTTAAGGGTAGTTTTGGGGGTGCCGAGAGTGTCAAATTTGTCAAGCGATTCCCAGGGATCAGCGCCGGAATCGAGCGCGGACCAAATCGAATTAGGACCTGAAACCACCCCTCTATTTTTTTTTCCATACCAAACTCCCGCAAACTGCCCCGACCTCCCTCCGTACGAATCTCCGATCGAGGAAAATCCTCCGGGGAGGATCAAAGAAATAAGGGATGATCCCGACACCAGAAGACCCTCCGAATACAAATAATCACTAGCAATTAATTTCAAGAGTCAAAGGAGCCAATGGGGGGATGAAATGATTAGGTATACCTAGACCATTAAATAATGATAACGGTAACCTCACCCGAAAAAAACAACCCCGCGATAAGCGACAGACCAGGCTTTTGTAGAATTTCAAAAAAAAAATATACCCTAACCCCGCGGACCATCTGAAAATATTTGCCCAGATAGACGAACCGGGAAGGGTTGAATAAAGCCCCAGGCCCGGAAATACGATGGTACGGTCGGTGGGGAGGCGAAGCGCGTAGAGCGAGAGGCTAACCAGCCAGCAGCAGATCCTGCCAAATGAAATTATCCCCGAACAACCCACCCCCCCTTCCCGACCAACCACCCCCCAACGATCTACAGGGTTAATTCCGGAACGGGGCTCTCTTGCTGTTTGTTACGTCCCTGATATCACTGCCTGCCCAACTAGCTAGCTAACCTCCTGGCTGGGGCTGGCTAGTTCGCTAGTTGGCTGGCTAGCTGACTAGCCTCAGGGCTGGACCATAATTTAATAGCAGCCACTAATACGTTCCCCCTTCGCTGATAAGAGTTTCCAGCCCGGTATGCGTGCGGATGAGACAACATGCTTTGCCGTATCTACCTATACCATATATACCTAATCAACATGCTTTTAAACTAGGTATATATATATATACTATCATTAAATATACACTGATTAAACGTAAGTCATCGTTATCATTGTTATCCGACTACCTCAATAAGATCTCCAATACGAGATCTCCATAGGCGACTACGAAAAAGAGGGGAGGGACCAGGGTCATGAGGCTGGGTCAGAACGGGTCTTCCCGTATACAAGGTATAACCGTCGAGGTCTGGAATCACGGCAGGGCGTGAGCCGAGAGTAACTGGAGTGGAAGCGAAGCCGGAGTGGGTACATTCATCACGAGTTATTAAACAGGGTAACAAAAGGACGGAACGCGGGCGCGTAAAAAAGGCGGAGAAGATAGAATCGCCTAACTAGTCCCCCATGATGATAGATGGCCCCAAGGATTAAGCATCATGGCCTCTCCTGCGTATATACATCCCCCTGGTACCAAACCAGCCCTCGGTCTCACTCGCTCTTACCCAACGTCTTATCAGCTTCTCGGTCTACCCTGAGATCAGGTATCCTGGTCTCGCGGATGCCGAAAGTGGAGTCAGGGTGAAGAAGGGAAGCAAAAGGGCAAGGTGAGGGAAGTTGGTACCGGGGCGGGGGGGGAGTTGGTTATGGGACTAGGTGGGGGAGTAGTAGGAGGGGGTAAGAGGAGAAATAGAGGAGTGGTAGGGTAAATAGAAAAAATAGAACCAGATGGGTTCAGGACGCGCTGGTCTGCCGGAGTTTCTTTCAGATGGGTTTCTAACCGATTGGCTGGGATACCGGATCGATCAGGATGTATGGATGAAACGATTAACGATATTTATGGTGGTTTTAATGTGGTGATAGATATTTTTTGAACAATTTTTTTTTTACTATGTTTTTGGGGAATTTTTGAAAAATTTTTTTGATTCCACTCTAATTGCTTGCTCTCGAATGGTTAAGGTCGACCAAAGTTCCGTCAGACAATTTTCGCGCCGTCAGTCAGCTGCGGTGAACTGCTACCGTGATTTCCGCTAATCCAACGAGACAAGCACGATTTTGGAACGAGTTCAAGTCTGCAGCCACTACTAGGTCTTGTAGCCAGTCCAACCTCTGTGAAGGGTTCGGATCTGTGCGGGCGAAGGTTATAGCGTTGTGATAACAATGAAATTTTGTAATTAAGTTAGGCGATTCAAAGGCAGTTCGTTAAGTAGACGCAACAGTGGGAATTTAATTGTAATTTTGAAATTTAATAAGCTTTTTCAAAATTTATGTACTTTTCCTGGGAAGATTTCGGGATGGATTATTGCTGGTGAAAAAAATTTTGTTGTTTTTATTTTTAATCAAAATCGATATTATCGGCATGTTTTCTCGTGGAATTCTTTTCCCAAATTTGCCAATTTATCTGTGACGCGTTTCTGGCCGCTAGAGGGATTCTTTCTCTTTGTCACTTCGTCCCTGCCCCTGCTGAAACATCAATTAAAATTTATCCGTGTGACGCGACTCGCCCTCGATACGCCCGTTTCGTGCGATCGTTCGCCGTTTTTAATTGGATTTGAGAGAGAGGACTGCGCGAGAGGATAAACCAGCCGGAGATACCTCCAGAGGGAAAGGGAGAGAGAGTAAGAGAGAAAGAGAGAGAGAGAGAGAGAGAGAGAGAGAGAGAGAGAGAGAAACGAAAAAAAATATATATAATAAAAATAGTATAGTTGACAAAGTGTCAATAAATAAAGTCATGTGTGTTAAAAATGTCAAAATTTTCAAATGTCATTTTAAACCTAGTCATCTTGCAAAAGCTCGTTCTGACAATGGAAAAAATATACGACTGCTTGATGTTTAAACTCGAAAAAAAAATTCGTTACAGAAAATTATAATATTAAAATATCATACGGATAATGAAAATAATCTAAATATAGGAAAAGCATAAAAAAAATAAAAGTACAAGAATTTTGAGTTATTTCTCTCGCGTGCAAAAACTTAAGCTGAACCTGTCAGTCAGAAGGTGTCAGAGTAGATCCTACTAGCCGATAGCCGATAGTTCATGTAACTTATTAAATCGTGGGAATTTCTAGGATGAGGTAATTCAGAGTGGGGAGGGAGGGGGGTGAAATCGAAGAGGGGCATGACGTATATTAAGCTTCTACATACATAGGAAAACCAGATGAGCTATCTGTGAACGTTATTCGCATTCGCAACACGAGCTATTAATTATGTATTCAATAAATTTTAAACGTATTGAAATGAATTCAAATTGCAGATTAATATTAAACGGCGTGCACTAATTGGCTGGGCAATTATACGACCTTAATTAAACATTAGCTGCGAACTGGGGTTAATGCTAACGACATCTATCGTATGTCAAATACTTTAAGTATTTTTAAAAATCTCTAACGCATCCCGCGAGCTCAAAAGATTTTACCTACAGTCGTACCTGAGAATGTGAATCGTAACGTGAATCGGGATCTTATCAAACTGCGTTAGGTTAAGTTTTAGAAACCAGTGACGCTGCTGCCATCTAGCGGACGAGATGGGAAGTCTCTGTACAGGGTTGAAACGTTCTACCATCCACAGTGTTCGGGTTACAAAGAGTTTCGGAAGGTGGCGCCTCTGGCTTACGAGTTGCAGTTAATTTTGTTTAATATAATCCAAATCAAATTTGTACTGCTCATTGACTGGTACTAAATTAATAATGAAGCGTTCGTACTTGTTACAAAAAACGATTTTATTACACTGAGCTACAAACAGTATATCGTATATGAATATATATCTTAATTTTCTAATCTCCTGCAGATGTCAGTGATTAGTTCAGCAGAAATGTCACTGGCATAAATGCTGATGAATGACACATAAATTTTTGGCCACTGACACGTGTAAATAGTAACAGGCTGTAGTTGTATCTAAATATCTCACTATACCTTTCAGTGGTAACGGGTTTTTTTATTTTTGGGAAATATATTTGTGGCGATCGGGGAATAAAGGTCTGTGCGAGAGGACGAGAGAGCCAAGTGAATAAAAATATACGAGGTCCAGAGAAGATGGCCGCCCTCTTATATGTATATCGTTTATTTTTTTCGAATGAATGAAAGGAAGGTTTAATCATGTTTTTCATGTTTTTATATCGTTTTCTATTCTTCTTCATTTTTAGTCTCTTCTCTGGACTCTCGTCTCTGATATGTTAAAGATTTGGCCAATCATAATTAAGGTACGCTTTCCAGTGCACTCTTATAGGACTCCGAAGACTTTGAGCCATTGAGCTATCGAGTCCTCATCTTGAGTCAGTCGCGAACGTCCTTAATTTTTTTTTTTATATATTTTGTATCACTTATTCGAGCGTCCTCTCGCTGACATTGACTAATCCTAATTAATTACAATTTCTTAATTAGGAAATCTAGGCTACATTTAGATTCGCATTTGATTTTAAACGTCTTACTTAACGATAGATTTATTAGCATGAAAATCCTTAAGGAGATCTCCAATGAAAAATGTAGGGATAGGACGGCGACTCGAAATTTTATATTTAATTACATCTCATTCCTCGTTCCTCATTCCTCAATCAGTGATCTCCTCAAAAAACTCTCAGTCTCTGTTACTTATAATTTTGATTAATAATTCAATTACATCTCCAGTCTCTTTTACCAGTATCCCACAAAAAGATTCGTCTGTGACGTGTTCAATGTGAACGAGACTTCTCACTTTTCTGAGCAACACCTGCCTTCGTCTAATAAATAGTAGTACTTCTAAATGAGCCAAGAGAGCTCACAAAGTTCTTATGAGGGCGACAGTCGCAAATACTCATCCCCAGTAATTATATACAAAGAACTAGTCATCAGATAATTTCAGACGATCCATTAAATCTGAAATATTTCAATTAAAAATGCTCATCTTCATTATACTCCTCTGCCAGATCCTCCACACAAATCCAGATTCTCCACAGAGTCCCTTAGGACAGATTAGCCCGTTCCAGGATGATCATCATCCTCTTTGTCTTCTATATGATCTTCGACTTCTCAATGGGCTAGAGTGGCGTTTCCTCTTCGAGGAGTTACCTGGGCGTTGGTGGAGGAGGTGGTGGTCATACAGCACTTCCAGCATAATATCCAGCCTTGCCAGCAATACCAGGACCCCGCTTCCTCTTCTCGCACTCCATAGTGCTGAAGGTGTTCTGAGCAATCTGTGACTTCCTCTTTGGATTTTGCAAGGTCATGCTTCTCTGACTAGAATTAGAACTGGAGCTGGTACCAGGTTCAGAGACTCTCAAGATGCCTGAGTGTATCGTTCCAAAGTTCTGATAAATGAACTGAGACTGAATCGCTGAGACAGATGCGTTCTGATGCTTGAGGGTTATGGGTACAGTCTGTCCTGCCAACGTGTTATACTGAGAGTCAAAAGCAAACGGACTGTCCAGGAGAGACTCGTTCTTATCAGTATATCCAACACCGAGTCTAGAATCCAGAAGACCCTCCTTATCAGCGAACCCACTAAGTCTGGAGTCAACGATGCTCTGTTCGTTCCTACCGGAGAACTCAGTGTACCTAGGTTCGTGTCCCACGGTATGTTCCTTAGCGTCGGTAAAGGCGATCATGTTCTGTCTAGAATCAGAGAGTATCCTAGAATCCATGAGACCTTCCTTATCGGCAAAGCCACTGAGTCTCGAGTCGATAACACTCTGATCTGACTTATCGACAAAGGCGAACCTGGGGTCGGCGCTCTTCGTATCGTCTGGATATGCCGGTAATATATTCGAGAGATCTGATTTATCGACGTAGCTGATAGCTTGGGGATTAGAGGCGCAGATGTCAGGCGCCGTTTTACACAGCAGCGACGTCCCTTCCTCGGCAAGTCTCTGGGGCCCTGCACAAGTAAAATCGATCAGATTCTTTTGTCTCACGTAGTCACTAGGACGCAGCGTAATCGCACCAAGTAGCAGTAACTACGGAGTAATGACTCACCCTTACTGGCTTGATGAAATCCTCTGGCCTGAACCGGTCCTGGGGATTTCTGATGCGCTCTGACAAGGTACTCCGAGCTCAGTCCTCTCTGTTCTCGAAGTTTCCTCTCGGCTCCAGGAACCATGACCCTCACCTAACGAAACCAGAGAGATTAATCAGTGTCTAGGATAAGGTAACCACCAAGTGGATAATGGCAAGCTATCCTTACCATGTCCTCGACTGTTGGAAAACGAGCCATATAACCGGAAACCGTAAGTAGAGCAGCAACCTCAGCCAAGATCAGAGCCAATCCTGAGAGCTGAAGGCACCAGCCATACTGATACTGTGGTAAACCGTTATCATCCGGTTGTACACCAATGCCCGAGGACAGGCTGTACTTCCTTGGCAATTCCAGGGAGGCATCGGAGAGGGCAGAAGCCAGGACGATGAGACCACCTCCAAGGGATAGTCCTGAAACGTGAGAAAAATTTGAGTATACGAATTTTCCCTTCCGCCCTTCCGCCCTTCCACCCTGTACGTTTGCTTGACCCGCCTGACTCCTTGGGTACCAATCCTGATAATGTCTCTGTCGAGAAGCCAGCGGTTTCTAACTAGGGTGGTTAGGCATTAACCGGAAGTGGGGTGGAGGAGATGAAGGAGCCACAGCAAAAAGCCTGGCAGCGAGGTTCTCGAATGGCAAAAAACTCTAATGCTCTTACAATACAGAGAGGGAGGCGGGTCGCGTGGGGAGTAAACGTATAAGGCTGTGGTTTCGACTGGAAATAAGGGTGGTTTTCGGAGAAATGGCTCGATTCGTCTTTACTCGTACTTTTTATCCGCTAACTTACCCTCCGCTGGCATTACAATTTGCTAGCGAACCCACCCCTTGTAAATCTGTTCGCTACATTATTAATACATTGACTGTCTTCGGGGGGGGGGGATTGCAAAAAACATCCCTTACTTGCTCTACCCTATCGTCGGGCTAATTATCCCTATAGACACCCGCGCATATACGTACACCCGTTTCATCCCCTAAATCATACACGTCTTATTCCTGACAATATTTCGAAATTCAATATTCCTAACTTTCATCCGTTAATTTATTCACTCGTCAGCACGATCGCGTGAATTATCGGTTTCACTAAGGAGCAAAGGAACTCCAATGCCATCCACATCCCTGGTATTTTCCGTTTTAATTTTCCTGGCAAACGACCCATAAACCCTCAGCAGCGTCGGGAGACTCAGGGTGATTCCGGACAGTTGCCACGAGAGACTCCGGAGCGCTTCAGCGAATTCGCAGTCGTCTACTGCGCCAGGAGTCGTGATGCCGATTAAGGGGATGACCCAGAACAACCTCAGTACACGAGGGTGAAACTTGGTCAAAATTTTTCGAGCGCGTTACTTTCCTCTAGAAAACGTGGACGGAGCATAAATAAATTGTCGTAAGGGTGTTTTCTATAGAATGGGCGGTGGGGGGCGGCGGAGGAGGAGGTGCCCATCAATTAACTCTAATTAGTAGTCGCAGCTCTGCAGTCTGCATTTCGGCCGGTAAAAAAAGCGGGAGCCGCTCGCTCGGTAAGAGGCTAATTGCGGGAGAAGAGGCGAAGATGCTTGTTAAGGAATATGAGGAGAGTTGGAACGCGAAAGTTTAAGGGTGCTGGTGAAAGTGGCGAAAGGGGTGCGAAGGGTGGTCGGATGTTTCAACTCGTCCTGCGACAAATCTCAATTAAGTCTTCGAATTCGCGCGGGTGTCGCACCCTGGTTGAGAACGAGGGTTCAGTTTAGTTATTAGGGGTCGGCAGCTAGAGGGTTGATGTGCTCATTTACTTTATGGAAGGCCAATCGTATTTCGATCCAGAGAGGGCAGCACGGTCTGCTTGATACGTCGGGAACTCTTGCTTGCATAGGGGTCGATTAGGTCTTCGAATTCACTAAAATCCACTTCATAGAAAATAAGGGTTGTTCGTGGCAAAGGTTCAAGTGACTTCAGGGTTTACCCCTAATAACGTCAGATATCTCATTGAAATTGGATTCGACGTTAGGCCATTTTCTATTTTCTTTTTTTTTACTCTTGATTTCCCTTACGCTCGACGTATATTCTATTTTCATCCGGATCGTCCTCCATTTCGCAACCCCCCTTCTCACCCTCGATCTTGCAACAAATATTTGCCAGTTTTTTTTCAGCAATGGGGATGAAGGTTAACGTATTTCAGAAATATTTCGTAACTCCTTGGAGGGTTAATAATTTTTTTTTTTTTTCATGAGTCAACCGCCATCATCCAAATTGAACAACCCCCTCTTCTTCTTCTAAGGGGTGATTTGTATTACGATTTTACTTGGCCGTTTTTTTAATTTACTTCGACCCCACTTCGTTACGGTACTGCGTGTATCTTTATATAGATTTTTTAAATTTTCACCGACCTAAACATTCCCGAGGGGGATGAACTTGTATCACTGTAACGTCAGCTACTCTCGTCGTCCCCCTTGGCGCCGCTTTCGCAGCGGCGAGACAATTTCAAAACGGACGCACCGTCAACATTCAGACTCGCTTTGCAATTTAACTTTGACAGGTTGACATGGGAATTAAATTTTTATCTCAGGGCTGTACCCATTTCGGTAAATTGGCATACCCGATTTCTGGGGGAGACTGAAACTAATAAGTACCACGCGATCAAGAAACCGTCACTGATACAAGACGCCATTAATGAACTGAGTCTATTAATTAGTCAGAAACGCAATCCAGTAAACTGGACACCCCCTTCTACACAGCAGAAACTTCATCCTCCACAAATTGCATCGCCGTCACAGAAAAAAAAGTTATTTTATCAAAAAAAAAAAAAATAATAATAATTCAATAAATTTCCTTCAACGTATATCGTGACAAATCGCACCCTCGCCATTCCCAAGTTACCAGGGTTACCAATCCGGAATTATATATACGGCAAAACGACCACTAGCATACATAGGGGATGAAAATGACTAGCAGGGGAAGCGGATAGACGATGTGATTTTTCATTTTCCTCCTGGAATTTTCCTGCGCACGTCTGACTGCTCCTTCATGAATATTTTGCACGCGTTGCTTTCACCGGAGAGAGTGAGACTACAGGGAGTGTACGAAGGAAAGAGAAAGAGGGAGAGTAGGTCCAGGGAGGTTGCATCACAGCTGAACATAAATTTTCAACATGCCCAACACGGTTTATGCCGCCAGGGTTAAATAACTTGACCCAATAGCAACATATCAGGCGTGCCGTGTAATGCCGTGAGAAAACGACAGTGCGCATGCGCATACGCATTCTCGTATGGCGATAACGCGTCAGGAATCTACACGCTTACTGAAACCCGTGCTGGTTTAATATGTCATTCGATAGTGGCGCCGCAGTCTCGATACTGCGGAATTCCGTCGAAGCTTCGGAGGCAGAATATTAATATAAATTCCATTGCTGGTAAATAATATTTCTGATAAACCTATCTGTGTTCGTAAAAAGATATATAATAATTTTTATTTATTATTAAAAATTAAATTCAACTATTTATATTGCGTGATTCAGTTGATATTTCTAATAAAGGATATTTCTTCAGGTCTATGCCTATATGTATATGCCTTCGGGCAAATACAGTACACACAATTGATTATGGTGTAATATACAATAGTATGCTGTAAAACTACCCCTAAATGGTAGTACTCTTATTAGGAATAGTAGAGAGCAGAAAGTACAGGAATTGGAGGGTACGACACCCTTGGGCCGTTCGTAACCGCAAAAAGGCTGCTGTACAGTAACGCCAAGTAGAATATGTGCGGGGCGTCGCGACGCCTCCTTTCTGTATATGTACGAATGGGGGTTGTTTGAACTCCAGGGACGTTGTCTGCCTAGGGGCACAACAGCGGGAGCGATCTCTCGAGTCTATACGCAACCACATTCCTGTGCTGCGACGAAAGCTCAGTTTTCATAAATAAGGGATGATTTTAACCGAGGACTTGGTCTTCGAGTTACCACCCCCTATCGCCATTTCGTTTCCACCCCTATACATTTTTGTTTGATACTATATCTTGTGCTTCTTCCTTGCTTTTGATTATCGATCAACCCTTAAAAATGTACTCGATACAGGTAAGTCTCGCTACTACCCTCTTTGAAGGTTCCGAGGGGTGGAATTACTTCGAAAGGATCGAGGGTGCTAAAGTGTTGCCGTAACGCTGGGGCACGATATCGGAAACAAAATTTACCCTAGTATCTAAGGGTTGTTCTAGACAAGAGAGAGAGAGAAAGAGAGGGTGAGTTTCACCCCCCATGAAATTGCTTTTAGTAAAAAAATCGCATCGGCCGTTGAAAACGAAAATCGATTTCTTGAAAAGGGCCAATATCGGTAAGCTGACCAAGGTGGGGATAGTAGCGTCATCCCCCATTTTCTACAGGGGTGAAAATTCGACCACCGTACAGCTGCCATTCGCTCGTTATTACACGGGTCAGTCGGAAATGCGAGCCCTTGAGAAATTCTAAGGGATGATGCCAGGGACTCGAGCCCCGGCTCGAATATTTATAGCGGTTTTGTGGATAGGTGGTGAATGTAGAAAAAGGCAGTAAAGAAAGGGAGGGAGCTTGGAAAAGAATTGTGGTGAAAAAAAAAAAAGAAGGGCCGAGTAGAAAAGAGTGGGATCTCGTACCGGAAGTGCATTTGAATAAAGTTGAAAGGGGGTGTCAGGGGGGGGGGGAATGATAACCAGACGCTTATTCAAATTGAATATGGTAGCGTCAAGGCGCAGGACGCAGGACCTACACAAAAGTGTCCACGAGTTTCATCCATACACCCCTGTTATTATTATTATTATCATTTTCTACCTCACCCTCGTCAACTACCCCTATTTTAAGTTTCCGACACACATCCGCAAGCAACCCCTCCCGCTGCGACTCGCGGCTGTCATCCCTCCGTAGCAGTTGCAGTAGCAGCGCGAAGTCGACGCAGTGTGCCAGAACGTCATAGAAAAGAGGGATGGAAGAAAAAAGATAAAAGAAAAAGAAGGAACAAAAAAAAAGGTGGCGTTAAACGAGTCGTGATGGCTAAAGGAGTTTCGGCAGTCTATACCCGTATTATGTATCTACGTATATATGTATATACGTATGTACACGCGTAGCTACAGAGACAGTAAGGGTGGCTGCCTGACTAGCCGGTTTGCTAGGTAGCTGGCTGTTTGAAGGGAGGGGGGGGGTAAGTGTCGAGATATTGTGATTTAGGGGTGAAAACGCGACGGCACCTTGGGAAAGGGGGGTGCAGCCACCGTACCGGCTCGATGCCCGGGTTCACCCTCTTAAGATATACCCGCCGGCGGCAACACGCTTGATATTCAAAACCACCCTTGGCAAGTAATACGCGTAAATCTCGACCGCCCTCGAGAGCAGGTCTAGGAAACTCACCCTTAATAAGTGCCTAGACCAATGTAGCTACCCCTGATACTCGTGTCGTATACGAAATATAAA